AAGCCACTCACAGCACCATCCCACGCTCTGTACCGGCTGTGCATGGCCTGCCCCTGCCCCTGCCCCATCCCCACTCCCTCTCCCCTTCCCTTCCCCCACAAACTTACATGTGTGCTCAGCCCTCCCAGATAATTTTTTTTCCCTTCACCTATGGTTAAGCTCTAGGTATTCTTTGGTGAATTGTTTCATTAGTGTTTTATCTTTATCTGTTTTTATGACTGTTATTGTGTGTGTATCTGGATGATAGAAATCAAATCAATAAATAAATGTAAATTATAGTTTGTGGAAGGAATTTAAGCTAAAATGATAAAAGCCACATTATGCTAAAATAAAAGTGTATTAAAATGTTATGCTGGGTATAACTATATCTATATAACTATATTGTTATAACCTAAGATCCTGATTATCTCTGATGACTCGAAAATTGGGGAGTTTTTTTTAAGTAATCCAAAATCCATATTCTTCTGTGATAAAAAATTAGTGGCTGGCTTTAATCATGGAAAAATGTGGATTTGGGGTTACTTTTGTAACCCAAAACTTGGGGATTTTTTTTAGCAGAGAAAACCAGGATCCCTGTTTTTAACTAAGTATAACGTCTATGTGAACAAGGCCTTACTTAACCTACATTAGTTAAATCCAGTACAGCTTTCTTATGTAGACAAACCCTAAAGTAGATTAAGTGGTCTAGCTTACACTATCCTTGCACATCACCACATCATTTTTACTGTGGCTTTATATCTCTGGATGTCTGTATATGGGCTGGGGGTTGGTTTAAAAAGGAAATGTTTATAAAGTACTACTCTATTGTATCTAAAAAAATCAAACATTCCTCTCTGATTAGTGATTTTTGTGATTGAAGCTAAATTTAGAACATCAAAGCCCAGTAATGAAGAGCAGCACATTTAGCAGCTAACTGAAAAAAAATGAGCTGTGAAATAGGGTAAGGAAGAGAAGCCTTGAGGACATATAATACCTCAGGGGGCTATAAAAGTTTTTAATTAACTAGCTGCAAATTTGTGGGTTTTTAGGATTTGAAATTGGCTACATGCCTACAGGTAAACTACAAAAGGTGCCATTTTGATTGAATTAATCCATGCAACTCTCCCTACAGTTGAGAATTATCCATTGCTCTTGATTCAGCATAATATTTGAAAGCTACAGTGAGCTTTAAAGTTTTAAAAATCACTACTTTACAAATAACAGTCTGGTTCATCTTTGCCCACTGATGTTACTGAGACTAGATGTGTGAGGAAGAGTTCTTTATATTGAATGGGGGTTTCTGAGAAAGTTGTAGAAGTTGTGTTTTCACGACATGATCATTTTAGGATTTACATGATCAATAACACTGATAGTTTAGGTGTCTTTAAGTTAAGACCTTCTTAAAACATTTACTAGGTGATCCCAGATCAAAACAGTGAAGAGTTCTGGAGATGTTGTTCTTGCATGACAGTGGTTCAGATTTCCATCAGGTTTGTGCAAGGAAGCCTAAGCCACTAGCGTGGTAGGGCTAGGGCATGGCAGTTTATAGTTAGGTATCATAATGATGTCAATAGTTCTGACTGCAGTGTGACAGTTCTGTGGAGATCCTTCCATGGGAAAGTTATGGGAAAGAGGCAGGAGGAAAATAGTGACACTTTCATAACTCTGGACTACAGTGACAGCAGAACATGTTTAACAACATGTTACCTTTTTTTGACCTAACACCCCAGCAATGACCCATTCCTGTCATCTTAAGGGAATAAAAACCATCTGACAAGCTAGTCTGCATTGCAAACCTTCTACCGGCCAACAGCAGGCCTTCAGGTTTCTGATAACTTTACAATAGCAGCTGCACCAACAGAGTATGCCATGCATGCTGAGGGGCATCAGCTGTTAAAGCGTCTGTGCCAGCTAGCACATACTTGCTGATGGTTTCCCCTGTGACAGCATACACCTTACATTGCTTACAGAGCTGGTGTTACTCTGCAGGCAGAAGGAAGGGATTCTGCCAGCAGAGGGAAGCTGTGAGTGTAAATGCACTCATAGCTTTGCTTGCAGAACCTGAGTAGATCAGGCCTCAGTTAGCCTCTCAGCTCAGGGAAAAGTGAGGGAGAGAGAGGTTTAATGGAGGGAGACTTCTAACTGTTTGATATGATTGTCTTTTTTATTAACAGAAGGAACCAAATAGGGAGCATAGGGTGGGTATAGACATTACACTTAATGTTCTTTAAACACACAGAAAATGCTTTACAGCTGTAACAGAACAGACATTTATGGCACATTGGCTCCTGACAGACATGGAAAAAAATGCACTTTATAGGAATAAGCAGCACATTAGTTTGGCCTGGTTCAGTGCATGATTCAGTGGGGCTTTTTTGTGTTTTTATCTAAAGCTGATTCAATCAGCTATTAGCCAAAAGCTCCAAAAAGGCGCCACTGAAGAGCCCATTCTATACAGATGTTGGGTGATCTGGGTCAAGCTAATGCACTGCCTCTTCTGGGCATGTGTTGGGCTTGGCACGGGGGTGCACTGAGTTTAAAGTCCCTGGTTTTTTGCGGGGGGAGGGTTATGTCTGTAAACAGCCTTAAAGCACTTTGGAAATGGCAGATCCTGCTCTAAGTTAAACCTGGATGGAGGTGTAACCTAAAGCACTTTCTGTTAGAGTATGTGTGCCAGAAACTATCAAGAGTTAACTTAGAGTGTGATTACCGCTATTTCAGGCAGTGCTGCTCAGGGCTGCTCTAGCCTCAAGCAGAGCTCCGATTTTCTGCTTGAGTGCCAGGCTGGCCCTGCCCCCTCAGCTGTCATTGACCCGAATCAGTGACAGCCTTTTATCCCAGCCCCTAGCACAGCTTGGAGGAGGGATGGGGTGGGGAAGGGGGGTTTCTGTCCCTGCAGCCACCCTGGGTGGGGGGAGGGTTGTGGGGGAAGGGCTCTGGGGTTTTTTCTTCTGTAGCAGCCCCAGCCAGGCAGCAGTGCACTACAGCCTGACCAGGTTGCTGCAAAGGAAGGGAATCAGGGCCACTGCCTGGCCAGGGCTGCTCCACAGACACAGACCCTTGAGCCCATCCCCTGCAGCAGCCCCACTAAGCGAGGCTACACCGCGCCGCAGCTGCTGACTGCAGCTGTCACAAAGGTTTTGGGTAGGAATCCCCACCGCCATAGACCCAGCCTGCCCCTGCATCAGACCCTGACCCACAAGCTGTGGGGGGAACCTCATGGTGGGGGGCTCTATTCCCCCCCTCTTCCCTCCCAGATGCCGCTGACAGTCACCAGCTGGCGGGTGATGGCGCTAGGGAGAGGGGCTCCTCTGGCAGCCTCCTGGGAGGCATGTGGGAACACTCCCAGGAGCCTGTGAGAGCAGGCTCTAAGCCCTCCCTCTCTCATCGAACAGCAAATGTCTGTTGGGTTGACTCCCGCTGTAACTAATTGCGCTTTGAGTAAAGCATGACAAGTTAGAATGCTTCTGCCAGGAGCTTTGAATGTTTGCACTTAGCCATAGAGTCTATTGCAAGCCTGGCTCTAAATGAACAGGGCCTTTGGGGCCTCCTAAAAGCACAAGGGAAAAAAGAAAAGAACAGGATTGCATGGAGGTAAGAGAGGGTGGGAAACGGGGTTAGGAGAAGTTCAGAATAAGGCATCCAGACCAGGTGCCGTACTCTGTGGGTGCTCTGGGTTCAAGCATCCATGAAAAAAAATTAGCAGGCACTCGGCACCTGTGAGCCATGCTTGCATATGTTAAAAACAATGTGTTTTACCAGAAGAAACACCCATTACTTCAACCTGGTTCTTCAACATCTCTAAAGATCAGGTGCTTCACTGGGGCTTTTTGGAGCTTTTATCTAATAGCTGATTTAATCAGCTATTAGATAAAAGCACCAAAAAAGTCTCACTAAAGCGCCCAATTTTTACAGATGCTTACATGGTTAAAAAAACGTGCTGCCTCTTTTGGGCAGGAGCGGAGCTCAGTGCGGGGATACACTGAGTTTAAAATTAAGTGCCACTTTTGGTTTTTTGTTTAGTGTCTGCAAACACCCATTGGCAAAAGCCAAAGTCAGAGCCCATGTGCCAAACAGAGGGCTGTGTTTCAAATGTGTACACGTGTTCAGTTAGTTTGGGCACAGGTTAGCTCGACCTACTTAGTGACCTCATCTGGTGAACTAAGTTAGATTGGGCTAGCCATTTTTTTTGGCCTGATCTAAACTCTCCAAACATATGTACAGTTCTTCACTTAGATTGAGCTAAGTGTAAAGTCTGCACACTATATACACTTAAAATTTTGGTTTTTAGCATAGGAGTATTATGAAGTCCCTTCATATTAGTGGGATTCTAGCAATAAACTGAAGGAGTGCATTGCTTGTTTGGAGTGACATTAAACAGATTATGGGTAAAGAGTTTTGGTATACAAAGGAAAAAAGAAACAGAATAGAGCAAAACAGAATGGGGCAAAAAGAAGTATCCAGACAATTCTTTCCCTTGTTCTGTGAGTGTTTTTAATCTGCTGTTGAGCAACTTTGTAGCTATCTGGCCAATCTGAGAGAAAACAAGAAAAAGCTGGCAGATACAAATAACTTAATTCCATAAAAGCTGATAGTCTTGCTTGAGGGAATTCACCATTCTGTATTTTTCAAGCTTTGTTTAGAAGCTGCTTGGATATCTCAATCCTCAGGGGTTGTCTTGCAATAGTTTATAATCTAAATTTTCTTTTCAGAGAGCTTGGAAATTTTACAGCGTTATTCTTTCCCATTGAAAATGTTGTACAATTCTTTTGTTTTCCCTTTAGCCTCTTTTCCCCAAGAAGAACTATGAATGCTTAACTAGCTGTGAATTCCTCAAGTACATTCTGTCTGTGAAGCAAGGAGACTGTCCAGCACCTGAGAAGGCTAGTGGTTTTGCTGCTGCCTGTGTTGAAAGCTGTGAGGCTGACAATGAATGTTCTGGGGTGAAGAAATGCTGCTCCAATGGATGTGGACATACATGCCAAATACCAAAAAATCTTTATAAAGGTAGACATATTCCTAGGCACTTCTAAGGGGACAGAGCATTTTAGCAAGTAATAATGTTGCTTAAAAAAGAAGACATTTAAATTTATAAAGCAGTGTGAGTGTGTGAAAGAGAGAGAGAGGGAGAGTGAGTTGGGAGGGAGTATCATTATAAATGAAGGCTAAGAATAATAAAGCAAAGAAAAAAAGTATATCGAGAAAGTTAAGCCACAATTTGTGTTCCCTTACTGAGTCCATATTAGGGTGTTAGTGAACCATAGAAATGGGGCCTTTATGAATCATCTTAAGCAGAACAAATTGGCCCAGGTATGTGAAGTTTCACTTAATTTGACACAGATGAGAGGAACATTTTCAACCGTGAGACTATCTAATGATAAATAGCTCAAGTCACTTTAATCCCAGATAATCTCTTTTAGTAAGAATCAGATGGGTAGCACTACCAAGTACAAAGTATGGAATAATCCAACAGTGGAGCAAATGAGTAATATAAATTTGAAATCAATTGCCTTGCCAGACTAAAAGAAATAATGAAAACTTCCTAATAAAACTCATCTGAAGTACTCAAAGAATCTAAGAAAACAGAATCCATTAACAATATTTAATTGATTTGTTTGCGGTCCTGAAACGCTAGGAAGCAATGTTTTCCTCACCATGTGTCAGGAAGGCTCTATGATGTAAAGAATGAATGGTACCAAAAATGATTTTAGAATTTAATTTGTCAGTATCTAAATAACTTTTGTGGGTAGAAATGCTTGAAAGTGTGCTTCTAGTCCTAAAAAATGGCTAAGTAAAAAGATGTTGTAGCCATGATGGTCCAGGAAATATGAGAGGCAAGAAAGACTTAAAGAAGAATGCATAAGCTTGTCTAGGTTTATCCCAGCTATGTAGTTGGTCTAATGAAAGATATCAGCCACAGAAATCCTTCCCTTTATTTAAGAAAGACATTTTCTCACAGATTTGATTATTACCTATGTGAAAAACCAGTTCTCTTTATTTTAGTGATAATAAAAGTCATACTTGTGTAAGCACTGTAGAGAGAATTGTTAGCTAAGCTCCCAGTATAGGGCAAAATCCTTATGATTATGCCTTAATAACGCCAGTTCTTTGCAATTGCAAAACCAATGGAGCTGCATAGGTTTGAGTGCAGACAGGATTTTGCTTTCTCTTTAGAAATTATTTCCCAATACTTCTGAACGTACTTGAGGCAAAAGAGAACACAGGGGACAATATGTAGATACTGCCTTTGGCCTGACCAGTAGCATTTGCCCCAAATCCGGAACTATATAACAACAAACATAGTGAGGGAGAAGCATGCATGAAGGGAAGAAACCATATACAATATATGATATACAATATGATGGCATAAGAACAAACCTTCCATTTTATTCTGTTTAATTTTACTGGTAAAGTAAAATGTTCTACTTTACCACCTTATCACCTATTACCAGGATTTGTTAAAGCATGTGTGTGTTATGCAGGAGGCAGAACCAATGCACTGCTGCTTTCTCTGCTGATGAATCTCTCAGCTAATTAATCTCTTAAACCTGTCTTTTGAAACAAAGGACAAATAGGAGCTGTTCAGGCTTGCTTTTCATTTCCTCAAGGGGCAAATAACCTCCCTGTCACTAAGCAGGAACAAACTCCGTAAGCATGACTAAGATGCGGTGAACAAGTTTAGTACTCACCATCGTGACAGCACTAATAGCTAGAAAAGGAACTCAGATTAAAGTGAAAAGAATCCATGTAAGCTGCCATAGTTTCATAGCTGATTAGGTTTTGGAGATTACTGTTGTGGACAATATCTTTTTTATGAATATATCCTTTAGCTATATTGAAAGTAAATAAGTACAAACATAATTATACTTGCACGTTAACCATATTCCATGGAAAGCAATGACAGTTATACTATACCCATTGTCTCTATTTGCAGAATTGAGATCTCTATCATGATCAAACAGGATGAATCTATGTATTTTTCTCTGTGCATTTTGTTAACGTTTTATCTAATGACACTCCAAGTGTTTACAAATATTGGGACAAATTGTTTGACAATCAAATCTGAAAAAAGGACTGTTGCCATCTTATTTTATTGTCTGAAATTATTTCATATATTGATCTACACAAATATTTCAAGCAGTTCCACCCAAGTATTATGCTTCTGTTACATTTGAAGAGCACTATTCTTTCTTATGATGCATCTTTGTTTATTTACTTTTCATGGCACAGAGATGTACATGTCATTTGAAAGGCACCATGTGTAATATATATACTTCCTGGGCTCTGGTATTACACATATAAAACAATACCTGTTTTCAATTCTTCCATTAAACATTGTCCACTGGAGAAGACTAATTTGTTCAAGGATGATGAAAGACTTGACTATTTACATAACACAAAGCACAATGAGAAGTGATTGGATGTAAACATCTGGATATGAAATTGATGAGGCTGTTTCCACAAAAGTATTCTGCAATGCACTTGTGCTATGCTCTAGTTGTTTGTGTTGCTGAGATCCATCTGCACACAATTACATCCACCAGAGAGGCTGAGTTACTTCCAATCAAGTGAATCCAACTGACCCTAATGCAAAGCAGATGGAAAGTTTCTTAACATGCAAATTATGGCATTATTGTACATCATTATTAAAGAGGGATTTTAAAACATAGAAATTTGAACTGTCATAGTTTGTGATGCTTATTATGTTGGATTAAGACTGGTTGCTGTTGAATAATATCCAGAAATTGAACCTGCGTTTCTGATGTCAAAATTTACTCAGGATGATTTAGGTTTCTTCACTACCTACAGTATTTGTTTTTGTTTACTATTGCTGATTATGTAATTGGAGTGCTATAGGGAGAGGTCTGTTTTTAAATCTCTTCAAAAGCAGTTTGTTGATCTAAGGAAGTATAGGAGCTAAAACAAATAAATTTCAGATACTCCCTGTTCAAAACCTTGGAATAGAGACAAGTGGATCTGACAAAGTTCTCATAATTTATGTTTGTAGACCAGCAGTTTCGGATTTGTTCAGAAGTTGTAGATGCTGTCATTATTCATCAATATTAGTTGATATGGAGAAGAAACACCAGAAGCCTGGTTTATACTTTTTGAACCAAATCCCAGATGCATGCCAGGGACAACACTCTAATTGACTTCACTGGGACTAGTATTTGGCTATATTTTTCTCCTTATGTGATACAACTCTAATGCAAAATCATTCACGTTTTAATTTTAAAACTGTTTGTTCCTGTCTTCTACAAACATGTGTGATGGACCGACCAAGGAGGGTAGATTATTTTAAATATAAATTATTATACCAGTCTATGTGGGTGGATCCATTTAGAGGCCAAATAAAGTGAAAAAAATGTGAAATTGAATAAAACAAATTTGACAGAAAGATTTACATGTCATACAATGACCTCAAGTGAGAAAGCTCTAAGTGCTGACACAAGTTCCAAAACACCATGTATAGGAATGTAACTAACCACTTTATTTTCCAGTGTAATATAAGGATATCAATGGGTATCTAAAGATTTAAAACAGGTTATTCTTTTCCATGCCTGCTGTAAATGCTTTGGAACATGCAGTAGGCCATGATCAAAACACAGCAGAGAAATCATACCACAGTATCAGCATGTGGTGAGTGGTCACTGGAAAGTTTTAAAAGGCAATATCAGTACTGTAATGCCAGACTGAAATCTCACATTTAGATCATGCATGTCTGTGTCTTCTGACAAATCAATGGAATCACTTTTCTTAGATCTTTGGGAGATTGATGAAAGCTTAATAGAATATATAATCAGGTGAAAAAGGCTGTCACTTGAGCCTAGAGTGATAGCATGTGGTGTTTTTAAAGTTTTTATATGATATAGTCTCAAATTATATTTTAAAATTACTCATAGTGAGATTGGGATAAGCTCAGAATTTGCAGGGCCTTCAATATCTGGAGTTGTTAAAGAAAGTAATGAAGTAGAGATTTTTAAATGTATATAGCACTAGCAGAACTCTGACCCTGAAGTTTAAAATAAATTTTATAATTAAAATTGAGAACTGAGAACTCCTCAAAATTCCATCCCTTTTGCTCACTAGACCCTTAAATCTGTCCAGCTATTTGTCTGTTACTCTTTCCATAACTCTTCATCTATTTGCTCTTACATACACATCCTGTTTTGTAAATTATTTAATATTTTATCTGTACGTTTGCATTACAGGTGTTCCACTAAAACCCAGGAAAGAATTGAAATTTACTGAACTTCAATCTGGGGATCTGGAGGTTAAATGGTCTTCAAAATTCAATATTTCAATTGAGCCTGTAATTTATGTGGTACAAAGGAGATGGAATCAAGGAATTCATCCGAGTGAGGATGATGCTACTAGCTGGCTAACTGTGGCACAGGTTAGTTCTTTGCATGATAAAAAGTTATAATGATGATGATGATAATGCTACCATTGATGCCTGATTATTAAATAGCACTTTTCATCATATCTCAAAACACTTTACACAGGAAGTCAGTGTCATATTAAAGGTGGGGAAACTGAGACAAAGAAAAATAAATGACTTAGCCGACTTCACCCAGCGGGCCAGTGAAAATACTGGGCATGGAACCCAAGTTTCTTAAATTTCATTCTGTTACCCTGTGCACTAGAAAATTGTTTTTGGTCAAGAGTTCTTCATGCAAAAGTAATTTACTTTGTCTCAAATGTGGCATTTTATTAGGAGATGAAGTGCACCAAAAGCTATATTCTTAGCATTTTATACCAAGAAAAGGAGACAAAGCTCTTTATATGAATATATCAGTATATATGTAAATACTTCTCCCCCGAATACATCTAGGCCTGTCATTTAAAAGAAAAAAAGCTCTTTTTTTTGATGGCTCACTATTTACATGACCATCTTTGCACAAAACAGTGGCCTAATTTTCAGAAGGTGGATGGTCACTACGTCTTAGAAAACAGGTCCATATAAGTTACATTAAGTTTGGCATCAAGAAACTAGAGCATCCAAAATGATGAGTTACTTTTGAAAATATAAGCTTAATGCCATTAAATGTGTATGACAGACCTAACTTCTTTGAAGAAAGTAGAACTCATAGACTCATACATATCAAAAGCAGTTTAACTCTTATCAGAATAGTAGAAAATTAATTTGTACAGTAGCCAGTTGTCTTTAATAAAAATGGAATTTAAAAGTGGGAAAATGTAAAACTACATTGATTTGTTGGTCTGCTTACTCTAAGTTGTAATTTCTTTGACATTTGCCAATTCAGTAAGGCCTGAGACACTGCCTTGTATCACTGGTAATAACCCTGACTGTAAATACAATATTCATGTACAAATGAGAAGCAGCTAAGTAAGCATAGATTTTCACTTAGTTCCTTCCCAGTTTCTGGCTCTTAATAAGCTGACAGTGCACCTGGATGGCAGAACGCCAGAAGTTTATTTTGAGTGCTTCATCCTCATCCCTACTGACAAAGAAAACAAAATCTCAATTTAAAAAAAGAGCTGTGAAATGTCTTTGGAGTAGGGAAAATAGAAGTGTCCAAAAATTAGAGCAGGGATTTTGTTCTGTAATGATCAGTTCATTGTCTATTCATGTTACTGACATTCAAAGCATGGTAAAAGAACATTGAGCTTGTAAAGTTAAGTGCTGAAATCTCTGATTTAGTTAGTCTGCAAAGTGTAAATCTACCCTGTCTTGTGCCTGATTTCAGACTCACAGGGCTAACTACTATTCTCTGCTCAAGAATGAATATAGCCTACATAGCCTTCATTTGGCCTTTCATTTGGCTGCTCTATTAGACTATTTATTTCAACTCATATAAGTCACCAAGAATAAAACCCACCTTGCCTAAGGCTTCTTCTCATGCCTTAAGAACAAAGTAATAGCTTTGTGAACATTTCACTAAGGCTAGGGACAGGCATTCAAAAAGCCTGAGCCTGAATTAATTCAGTCTTTGCAAGTTAGTCTAACCTGCAGAGAGTGAACTGGTTTGCAAGTGGATAAACGTTTGGCACATGCCTGCAGTGGCTCAAGCCAGAAGCCTGGAGATGCTAGAGCAGCCCTTCCCTTCCAACAGGGAAGTGGAGCTGAGGAGGGGGGATGTGACCAGGCCCTGGCAGACCTTCCCCTGCAGCTTCCTGAAAGCTGGGAGCAATCTGAAAGCTGGGCACACAGGGCTGCCTAGCTCCAGAGTGGAATTCTTCCCCCTCCTTCCTCTCCCCAACCACCACAGGGCTGAGAGAGGGGACTTGTTCAGTCTTGGGGGCCTCTTCTCCCTCCTCCTCTCCCCCTTGCAGTGGGGTAGGGAGGGGGGTTCTATGAGGCCCCATAGGAGGACTCTTCCCCCTGCTTCTCCCCATCACTGCAGGGAGGGGGGGGGGTGCTCTATGGGATGCTGCCCAGCCTCAGAGGGAGACTCTTCCCTCCACTTCTCCCCACCCCCCCAGGGCAGGGGAGGCTCTGTTCCATGCTGGGAGGAACTCTTCCAGGAGTGTGGAGCTCAGCTGCGCAGGGTGTGCGTGTGAGGGAGGGTGGGGGGTGTAGGGACACACTCCCCACATGGCATGCAACCCCTGGCATCTGGCAGCAGCAGGCAGGGAGGTCAAGATACTCCTGCCCAGAGCAGGTGCTGCTCTGGCTAGTGCTACGTGGGAGAAGGGAGTGGAGCCTGCGCAGCGCTGGCCCTACACCCCCCACCTCCCTCACACCCCACACACCCACACCCTGCCCAGCTGAGCTCTGCACTCCTACTACCTTTATGGGAGGAGGAGGAGGAAGAGGGGGAAGAGTTCCCCCCCAGCATGGAACAGAGCCTCCCTCTGCTTCCTCCCCACTCTGGGGCCTGGCAGCATCGTATAGAGTTCCTTCCCCCACGCCTCCAGCCCTGCAGCAGCAGCAGGGCAAGGCAAGGAGGAGGAAGAGTCCCCATTCAGCACATCACACAGTCCCCCTCTCCACCCTGGGAGGAGGAAGAGGGGGCAAAGTCCCCCCGAGCATGGAATAGAGTCCCCCTCCCAACCCTGTGGGACTACCAGCCTAGCATGGCCCTGCTAAGATTCATAGATTCATAGATGTAGGGTTGGAAGGGACCTTGTAGATCTTCTAGTCCGGCCCCCTGCCTTGGGCAGGAGAGAAAACTGGGCTCAAATGACCCCAGCCTCCTCTTAAAGGCCCCCAAGGTAGGAGCCAGCACCACTTCCCTTGGAAGTTGGTTCCAGATCTTAGCCACCCTGACTGTTAAGTAGTGCCTTCTAATGTCTAGTCTAAACCTACCCTCTAACAACCTATGGCCATTATTCCTTGTTACTCTGGGAGGCACTCAGGGGAACAAGGTCTCTCCCAATCCCCGCTGATCCCCCCTCAGCCTTCTCTTGCAAAGGCTGAACAGGTTGAGGTCCTGTAGCCTCTCCTCGTAGGGTCTGCCCTGCTGTCCCCGGATCATGCAAGTGGTCCTCCTTTGGACCCTCTCAAAGCTGTCCACATTCCTCCTGAAGTGTGGTGCCCAGAACTGGACGCAGTACTCCAGCTGTGGCCTGACCAGTGTCGCATAGAGGGAGAGGATCACCTCCTTGGTCCTGCTTGTGATGCATCTGTGGATGCGGGACAAGGTACAGTTAGCCCTACTGACCATGTTCTCGCATTTCGGCCCATGTTCATCTTGGAGTCAATAATGACTCCAAGATCTCTTTCTGCCACCGTGCTTTTGACAAAGGAGTTCCCCAGCCTATAGGTATGCTGCTGCTTCCTACTGCCCAAGTGCAGCATCTTGCACTTGTCAGTATTGAATCCCACCCTATTTTCATTTGCCCACACCTGTAACCTGTCCAGGTCCTTCTGTAATCTGTCCTTCCCTTCTAGTGTGCCCACCTCACCCCAAATCTTAGTGTCGTCTGTGAATTTCACCAGGGTGCTTTTCACCCCATAGTCCAAGTCGCTAATAAAGAAATTGAACAGTGCGGGCCCAAGGACCAAGCCCTGGGGGAGTCCAATGCCCACTCCACTACTCACTGTCCACTGCCCACGACCCTCCAGGTTGAATATGACCCGTCCACCACCACTGTCTGAGTACGAGCCCTCAGCCAATTTGCAATTCATCTGACTGTGTAGGCATCAATGCCACAGTCGCCTAGCTTTTTAATGAGAATGGGGTTGGAAACAGTGTCAAAGCCTTCCTGAAGTCCAGAAAGACTACATCCACTGCAACACCTGTGTCCAATGATTTTGTAACCTGATTGTAGGAGGCAATCAGGTTGGTCTGACAGGACCTGCCCCTAATGAAACCATGCTGGTTGCCCTTGAGTATCATCCCTGCTCCTGGTATTCCATCCGG